CGGGGCGTGGTGGGGCACGGCGTGGCGAGGGCCGAACCGAACCGGACGGCACGTCACGTTAATTGAAACGCCTCAACGATTCGGGCGCCACGCACACGCCATGAATCAAAGGAACGCGTGTAACGCGCCCCCCCCCCTCTCTCTCTCTCTCCCCACACGCACGCACGCACGCACACACACACACACACACACTCACGTGCAGGGCTACCGGTTCAGGACGGCTCCCATGTATCCGAGGCCCCCTTCCTAGAGGCACCTCCAGCATGAGCATAAGTACTCCTTTCTCACCTCCCCCCCCCCCTCTCTCTTTCCGTCTCCCTCTCACCCCGACCTCTTCTTCGTGTGTGTAGTGTGTGTCAGCAAACAAATGAAACAAAACAGTGCCAATCACGGCTGCGCAGGGAATGAAGGTGCCAGTCATCCCTTATCGACAGTTTTTATTTTATTTTCACTGTGTACTTGAGCAATGACAAAGCAAATGCATTAATGTTAATGGCACTGACTAGGCCCGAGAAACTAGTCGTTTAAACGTCTTAGCAATCAGCCTGCTGCTCTGTATTCATGCCGTTTGCTGGAGGGCCGCCGTATCCTTGGCCGTATAGCATGTTATTGTGTCTGACTGTTCTGCATCCCTTTCTCTCCTTACATGACCGCACCGCGCGCGCTCGCGCTCAGTTGTCTCCTTCCTCTTCTTCGATCTCATCAGATCAATACGGAGTCACACTGTTTGGTTACTTAAAAAAATATTTTTATTTTATTTCCTTTTTGTGTTTGTGTTCTCGACGTGTTGAACTATATTCGACTGCCTCCTCATTATTCGTTTGCCCTCCGTTGTCAATTAATTTAAACTCTGTGATCCATCTGTTTCTTTGTTACTTTTCTTGTTTCTCTTCTTGGGAAGCCAGGTCAATGCTCTGCTGTCAGAAAGGGAGAGAAAGAGAGATGAACTGAGAGAATCAGACACAGAAAGAGAGACATAGAGAAAGGGATAGAGAGGGACAGAGAGACCAGGAGACATAGAAAGAAGAGAGGCAGAGGAAGAGGGCTCCATTCCCTGACGATTCATGATTGTATGAGAACCTCACAATGGAGTTTAACTAACTTACAATAAATCATTCTCTTTCTCCCTTCTCATCTCTCTTTCTCCCCTGTCCCCACCCCATCACCTCTATCTCCCCCTCCCCTTGCCCCCTTTCCCAACTTTTGCATACCACGTACGTCTTTAAACGTCTATCAAGTTTCTCTTTGAGTCCTTTGTCTTTCGCAGCTCCCTTTGTAACCTCATTATTGCTCTCTCCTTTTTCCTTTCCTTCTCTCTCTGTCCCGACTTCCCCGAGTCTTATCTCACGCAATTTTAGAGTCAGTGTATTGAAAGTAATGAGCGTTATCTTGCTTTATTTATTCATACATTACGACTTGTCCTTTTATTATTTTCTCTTCCCTTTTACATTCGCTCGTCAGCCGTTTGTGTTCATGGTCTTGCCTTTAATTTTTCTCCCTGACTCACTTTTTCTCGATGCTTGTAGTTATTGTTTATTCGTTCGATGGGTTTCTGTTTATCGTCTCGTTAGTTTGCAGTTTGCATTGAGATCATTTTAATATTCTCTTTTGAAAATATTTTTCCTGAGCTGAGGCAGCTGGAAGTCTCCTGCCTTATACCGTAGACACTGAAGACAGATGGATTTATATTCCAAGGTCCCAGTTGATATTTTCTGGCGAATGGCGTTCTCGAGTTGCGATCACATGACATTTGCTGATCAGCGCGGGAGATTTCCACCGTGTCTTGCAGAAGCCTTTGCTTCTTCCAAGGCTCTCCTATTTGCGTTCACCCCACCGACTTCATCCTCCGTGTATCAATTTTTTCTAATACAACAAGAACAGGAAGAATTTTAAAGCATCGTCAACAAAATCATCCATATTGGGTTGTGGGTTGTCATCGTATGTATTGATCGACGGTGTGGGTTTCGTTTTCCAGAGAGGAGAGAAATTGTGTTGCTCGCTGAGGTGTGTTGAGCATGTACAGAGACCCCCCCCCTCTCCCCCCACAACCACCAGCAATGGCCGACACGATGTAGTACCGACGATCCTCCCCATGTTTCTTGACCAACAACGCGATTTTTCACGAAGAGCTTTCCAGTTATCCATCACAGAGTCGTTCGTTTTCCACTCGGGCTCGGCGTGGCGTCTCGCCTAGTCCAGTGGCCTCCGGGTCACTCCTCTAGGAGTTTGAACTGTTGGCCACACACCGCTTAGCATGTCGTTTCAAAACATTTAAAGTGTCGTTTCGTGTGTGCGCACCGTTTGTGTGTGTCTGTGTGTTTTGTTTAGTTGACGTGTGTGTTAGGATTCCAGGAAAGCTATCTCGCGACACATCTTCCTTTCACCGACCAACAGCTCTTGCTCGTCTTTTTATTATTTCTTCGTACAGACGACCTGTTTCCTTTTTGTTTGCAGGGTAGAGGGCTGTCTCTGTCCCATTCGGAGACTTTGCAGCAAGAGGATCGGAGGTAAGGACTTAGATAATTATTGTTACCTCATCGCAAATTGGCGTTTCTCTTTCTTTTTTTGAAAATATTTGTGAGAGTGTGGGAACACGGAAAAAACGACACGTCTTTCGCGGTGATGCATTTACAGGAGCAGCGCCGCTACGAAAGTGCGCAATTTTACGGGTGATTGAACGCGGCGAGGAAGATGGAGGTAAAATTAAGGAGAAGCCGAAGCCATGGTAGGAAGAGAGAGGAAGACAGACAAAGAGAGAGAGAGGGGGGGGGATACGTACACGATAGTAAAGGGCGGTTGTAAACGTGAAAACTATTCCTGCGTCAAAAATAATAGTCGGTTTGTCAGAACGGTTTCCGTGAATGAATGCTATACTTCAGTTTAAACTACGCAATTAATTAGGCACAGCGTTTAACATTATGCTTTAAATCATTTTTCTGCCGTAGTTGCTGGCCAAGCAGCAGGCAGCATGAGTGGTGCAGCCTGTTGGTAGGCAACCATACGTCAGCCCTGACCACCGGGTTGCCTACCCTTCTACCGGAGGCGCTTTTGCCGCGCTCGAGGCCGACGCTGCTCGGCGGCCGGGCGGGGTGCGGAATGGATACGGCTTCGTTCAGGCCTTATTATTCCAATTACGAATCCTTTGAGGGAAGAAGTTGTGCGAGTGAGACGGGCGTTCGCAAACACCGGAGAACGATATACAGAGATAGAGAGAGAAGTAGCGGGATTAATTAATTCCTTCGCCACGTGTAAATAACGAAAATGATTTGGCAGGCCTTTGGGGGATGTGTTCGTCGGTGTTCGACGAGAGCGCGACTTTCCCTGTAAGTTAAATTATTTAACAAGGTACAATGTTATTCAAATAATACTTTGACGTCACTTTTAAACGACTTTGACTCGTGTCAAATTGGTTGAACATTCAGCACATTCGTTGCCGCGTGAAAAAGGTATAGGCCTACCATACACTATGCTAGTCTTTGTGCGTAGTAGTTTGCCAGTTTAAACTGCATAGCAAATCGTTCGCCAGTTCGAACTATTTTGTTAGAACTGCTGAACAAGAAAGTTTCGCAGTTAGAGCTAAGTGAACTTTTTGCCAGATTAGCAGAGCACTTAGCCCCTGAGGGCAGAGTGATGCAATGGTATGTCACGTATAGACGACATCCACACACTTGCGTTCCTGTACTTAGACTTGACTCTGCATATGCAAAGCTGGGCAATCCAATTGCAAAGTATGGCTTTAAAATTACAACATAATGCTTTAGCATTTCACACTAAAAACCGTTGCGAAACTTTTGCTAATTTTGCGATAACTGGTCTTGTGATTCCCGAGCTCAGAGGCATTGTAACGTTTTTAACCTGTTTATGAGGTGCAGCATGACAAATAACGACAAAATAACTCCATAGCCAGCCGTACCGGGTGGTTCAGAGAAGACTCAGGTGCAAGCGGGTTTGCCTACCCGCTCTACCCGTTAGGCGCTACAGCCCCTTGAGTAGGCAAGCCCGCCTGCCTCTGAATCACCCGGTACGTAGCAGTAGGATACCCTTTTCTGCGCGACAAATTCACACTGTACTACTACGTTGTTTCCTGTTTGAGAATAACCACCTCCTGCTTGAAGTTTGTCCCCAATTTATTCTCTATTCATTTCTCTCTATCTTACGGCCCGTCCGTCTTCCTTTCTCATGAGGAAAACTCTCGGCTGTTTCTTCTCTTTCTGCTCGTTAGGTTCAGTACTCATGGCTGCCTTTGTGGCAGCCGCATGCGAAAAGCGCCCCATAAAGTTGAAAAAGTTTATCCGAATCACTACTTTTCCGTGAGAGGAGTGTGGTCTATTCTCGCGCGGCACTCAAACCCCAAACTTAAATGAATCCGATTCTTCATGGGCACCTCTCCCTCATATTGGGAAGCACTCTACCTTTGCGGTGGGATCGAAGTCGGCGCGGCCTGCGTCTGCCAGCTGGACATTCTTAACTGGGTGTTTTATTTTTATTTTTCTAAAACGACTTAACAAAGCCCCCTTGTGGAGGAATTCGTAGGCGCACACGCACAGTAAGTGCAACATGGAAATGATACACTTTGGCGTTTTTACGGCGCACATAAAACTGCGCGGCAGCTCAGCTCGCGTTACATAAAAAATACCGGAGAGCAGCATTAAAATAGTGTAAGAGGCTTTCGGAGAGGTCGCTCAACTTCGGCCTGTCTCTCTCGCTGTACCTCTCTCACGCTTGCTCTCCCCTTCTCTCCCCGCACAGTATTTCTCCGTCCCTTTTTCGTTTTCCCCATTTCCTCTTCTGCTCGCCTCCTCCTCGTTCTTCTGTTTCAAGCTCCCCTTCCGCTCTTCGATTCGATTTTTCTACAGGTCCAGTTTTCCTGTTGGGTCTCTTCTTACCACCTGTCGTCACAGACCTGGCGTGGGACTGGCGCCGGGTTTCAACTTGCCCCCTTCCCGTTTTACTGTATTGTAAAGTTGCTTTTAATATTATTCTTCGGGTCTACTGAACTGAAATTAGACGAGCTCAGTGAGAAGGGTTTCGATCCATGCCGTAAACGTTATTCGTCTTCGCGCCCACCACCCGCACACTAAAATCTTATGAACTTTTTTTTTCATAGTTACTGAGTTCTGTAAACATGCTCGGCTTACGCATTTTTTAATACGCCAGTATGCACAAATTTCTTCATACTGGCGCATTAAAAAATGCGTAAGCCGAGCAT